GGAAGGAAGGAAGGAAGGAAGGAAGGAAGGAAGGAAGGAAGGAAGGAGTAACTGAGTTTAAACATGCTTGGGATAAACATGCCCATCATCCAAATTTTTAAAAGTAAAATAAAAAACCTCAAAGGGCAGGCTTGATGGCTCACTAGGTCTTTTTCTGTCATCACTTTTCTATTTTTCTGTAGTGTCCTGATCACAAGGACAGGGCCATCCAATGTGTGGGTTTTAAATATTTTTATCGCTTCCTAGCCATGGATCTTCAGCAGCTGCTTTCAAGCCCTTTAGCAATTGTTCTGGAACTAAATTCCATGCAGATCTGAATGATTGACAGCTAACCATTTGCTTGACCCCAACTCCAGAAGGAGGGGGGGGGAATAAACCCCCAGAGGTTTCCTTGTTGAGGGTGAAAATGGGAATTGTTATTAGTTCTCCAAGCGGCGATGGGGCACATGCAAGGACTGAAAACGCCCCCCCCCCCCATCAGAAGATGGTAGAATTAGAAGTGGGGTGCACAACAAGGCCAAAAGGGGCAATGGAATGGCTGCAGATTTCTTGCTGATGCAAGAAAGAAAGAAAGAAAGAAAGAAAGAAAGAAAGAAAGAAAGAAAGAAAGAAAGAAAGAAAGAAAGAAAGAAAGAAAGAAAGAAAGAAAGAAAGAAAGAAAGGAGAGAGAGACAGAGACAGAGACAGAGACAGAGACAGAAAGACAGGACAGAGAGACAGACAAAGAAAGGAAGGGAGGGAGACACACAGAGAGACAGGACAGACAGAGACAGAGAGAAAGAAAGAAAAAAAGAAGGAAGGAAGGAAGGAAGAGAGGGAGGCATTTGAAGCATACATTAAGACTTGCAGCCAGTTACCATACTGAAAATAATTAAATATTCCTCACTCCACAGGGGTGCTGGAAAAATATCAAGAAAAATAAAGATGGTGTACGGTAGGTATCTGCATATATTACAATTCTCCATCAATTATCTTATTACATGGTTCTGGGCATGTTTACTTAGAATTGTACCCCATAGTGTTTAAGGGAGTTTACTTGGGCAAATACATATTGAATAACAGTTTCCTTTGTTATTGTGACTATTCCTAATAGCTCCTTTAATCAAGAGGAATGCACAAAAACAATACACTGGTTGCCTTGAAAATATTCACAGGCATTGCCACAGTT